ATTAGTGAATACAGTTTAAGACAATTAGTAAAAACATACTTGCCTTTCAAGCCTGTGCGCTCTTCTTATGCGTGTTTACACACACATGATTGTCGACAGATATCCCCCAAATACGCGACGTAAGGGTAAAAATTCGACCATTCCCCTAAATAACTGACGTACAGGCGAAAGAGCGGCGTTTCACCTTTATTTACGCTTTCGTCCCCTTTATTTCCGTTTTTACACCTTTATTGGTTGCTTGGGATGTGTATTTTACTTGTGATATATTACTAGATTTTAAAGCTCAGCGAGTTGCTGACTTGCACCTGATACCCGTCGTGGTGCTGCATATGACGCCGAACAGAGTTCAACAATCGACCCTGTTCTTTATTTAACCTTCCAGTTTTTGACAAGTGGCAATCATTCCTATGAATCTCGTCTCCGATTCCTCGACGCAATACGTTCCTTAGTCTTCCTTTTTTCCTTTCATTCAGGATTACAAGGTAGGACTTTATTCGTGATCCAGTTTGGTGATTTCCGCAATCTATATAGTATCTTCCCTAGCGTTTTTTTCCTGGTTTCCTCACTCAGAAGGGAGTCGGTTTTTCATAGCCAAAGTATGTTGTTGCTGATAGTGTCCAACCAACAAACTTCTAGTTTCTTGCGTAGACAGTTGTTTACAAATACTTGTTGCTTTTGATGATGGTTGTGGTAGTCCTCCAAGTTTAGCTTCATATAGTAGCATTTATCTAAAGTTCGTATTGAAGATTATGTCATTGGTTAACAGGGTGAGACTATAATTTATGGACGACATTTGAGCGACGCTAGACTGACCTTGAGTGTCCACCTCATAAGGAGGATCAAGTGAGAATTACAAACCTGTGTGAGGAATTAGGATTATGATTTACATTTGATGACTAAGGTTATAAATTAGATTTCGGGTTTTCATCACGAACTAACACCATCTCATCGACTGAGATGGTTGGGCCACATGTTACTTATGCCTGAACACCGATTACCACGACGTGCAATGCTAACCGGTGTTCGGGATGGTTGGAAAAAAGTTAGGGGCGGTCAAACCAAAACGTGGCATCAGTGCTTGAAGTCACTAACTTCTAGTCTGAGCCATGTTGGTAGATGCAGACTACTTGGTTGGGGTCCGTATGAGTGTCGTAACCAGTGGTTGGTGACTCTTGGTGACATGGCTCAGAATCGATCACAACAGTGTCGGTGTATACACTCTCTATCTTCCCTTAAACTAAGATATTAAAATTGCTTTATATCTTTCTTTCTACGAACTAATTCTTTCTTCCTGTACTATATCCTTATTGCAATATTTCTCCTATATATTACCACCTCTGAATTAACTACTTTTATGAATCCGCTGTCCATTCTTGTTGTGCTAATGAGGTATGGCAACTTGGACCGATGCATAAATGTGCCTGGTCCTACGTTGTAGCTGACTGACTGACATCAGCTATAATGCCAAAATTTTATTTATCCAAAATGGATTAGTGAATCTCGCGCTAAAATCCGAGACCCGTCACCTTATATGTGATTGGCAGCTTCGAGTCCCATATACTCCTCAATTGTAAGAATGCTCTCTTTGCTTTTCTAATCCTTGTCTTTACGTCTGTATCAGACCCTCCACGTTCATCGATGATGCTCCACAGGTACGTGAATGTTTCCACCCCTCCCAGTGCTTCTCCATCAAATGTTATTGAGTTGGTGCTCTCTTTGTTGTATTTGAGGATCATGGTTTTTCCCTCGTGTATGTTGGGGCTTACTGATGCAGAGGCTTCTGCTTCATTGACTGTCCTTACCTGCATTTGTTCATTTATTTTGTTATTTATTTTAACACAGATATTGGTACAAGGAGGCACCAAATACATATGCGCCACACAAATCTCAATTGATATGTGTGAGGGCTGTGGTACTGCCCGGGTGCCCAGACCGAAACATATGGTTTTCTTAGGGGGCCACACCACGAGCGTTTGACCTAAAGGTCTGACTCACAAGGCCATGGAGCACCGTAAAGAGATGCAGTCACATGGTAGCCGGTGATCAATGATTAGTTCATACGCCATTTGTTCCTTCAGGACACTGGAGCCCATGTGCACCAGTGGTTTGGGGTCCGGTTAGAGCGCTTGATATTCGCTTTTCGTCCTCTCATTTTCGTAAACAACACCCCCGCCACAATAAGGCAATGAGTAGGACTTCCCTGGCAGAGGCTGTATACGCGTGGCCGTGTGAGAGCATTTCGAGAGGGCGAGCGGACTCCCCACTTTCGACCAGCGCATTTAGAGGCATTTGTTCGTGTGTATGTGATAGGATGGCCAGGTCTTCTGCAGAGGCCAGATCATCCAGTTACATCCATGATATCCATTTTATTCCATGCTTCCCATCAGATGTGGACGTCTTCATAATTCAGTCAACCATCAGAGGATAAAGAAGGGGAAAGAGTAATCAGCCTTCTCTAACTCCCGTCCTCACTTGGAATACATCTGTCAACTGTTTTTCATGCACTACTTTGTAGTGTAGTCCGTCGTATAAATTCCGTATGATTTTGAAGATTTTCTCAGGTACACCATAGTGTCGGAGTTTCCATAGTGTCCTATCCACACTCAAATGTTTTCTCATAATCAAGGAAGTTGATGTGTAGTGATGAATTCCATTCGACAGATTGTTTGATAATGATCCGTAGTGTCGCGATTAGGTCTATGCACAACCGATCCTTACGGAATCCGAGCTGTTGATCTCAAAGTTGGGCGTCTACTGATTCTTTCATGCGGCTCGCAACGCTGCTGAAAGCCTATCCTGGTACTGACAGTAGTGTGATGCCTTTGTAGTTCTCGCATTTGCTCAGATCTCCCTCCCTTGGTGTCTTGACGAGGTGTCCTTTTCAGTCCATCGGTACTTGTTCTTCCTCCCAAATTTCCTGAATAGAGCGTGAAGCATATTTGCAATTACTTCTATGTCTGACTTTTGTGCTTCACCTGATATACTGTCAAAACACACTGCCTCCCCATTCTTGATTGGTCTGATGGCCATCCTAATTCCTGCAATCGTTGGCGGGGTGACATCTGTAGGATGGTCTGTATGTGCCTCTTCGATGTTCAGTGGAGCTGGCCTATTATAGAGTTCCTCAAAGTATTCTGTGCATCTGTTCCTCTGCTTTTGAATCTCAGCGATTGGCTGACTTTCTTTGTTCTCGACCAATCTATGTTTCACTATATTTCCATATCAGGTTCATCGTTGTGTCATATAGTTGTTTCATATTTCCTTCTCTTGCAGCTTTATCCGCTATCTTTGCTAGGTCTCCCACATATTCCTGCTTGTCGGCTCTGATGCTCTTCACTTGCTTGTTTGTTTCTGTGTGTTCAACTTGTGCCTTGACTTTCTCTGCTCGTGATCGGCTGTTGTTAATTGCTGTCTTCTTGTTCTTCCTTTCTTGAATCTTGTCCAGGTTTTCTATGGAGGTCTTTTCCTTATGATGGTGCTTCTCGCGACCCAACACCTTCTGGCAACTTGAAATTAACGCTTTGATCTATTTCGAGTTGTTTTTCACAGTAGTTTCTTTGAGTAGATCTTGTAAGACTTGGAACCTGTTGTTGAGAGTTGTGACTTGGTTGTTTCTCAGTATTTTGAATGAAGGCTGTATTTCTATTTCATAGCTGTTTAACTGGACCTTCCAGTCTACCACATTGTCCAGACATTCCATGTACCTATGTTAATTGCTGCTTTGGCTGTCAGAAGGGGTACCGGCATCATGATTTCGAAGAAATCTCGACTTCCATCATTGTTTCTAACACACTTTTGAACTGTTGTCACAATTAATGTTGTAGAATATTCTTTCACATTAGGTATATATTTACAATATTCAGTTAGCAATTTAAACCTATTATGTAATTATGATTTTTAAATATCACAGGTTGTAAGCGGCTGACGAGAACCTACGAAATAAAATGAATTCATGCTATTCTGCTAGAATCTTTGTTCTTGCTCTTTTCTAAATACAAAGTCGTAAATCTTTGAAAATATATGTAGTTACGGGCACCTAACTTTATTCCATTTAGCATACGTAACAATTCGTTAACTATTGGTAGACTACTTGGTTGGAGTCCGCGAATAGACGCTACCAGTGGTTAAAGGCTTTGAATTATTGACTTTTACATTTGTTTACAGATAAGAGCTGTTCTGTAACATTCATTCTAGATTAGTTTATTGTGTAAGCTTCAGATTAGTAACATTTTTATCACCAGCTATTTGGTACCCGCTCTCAGTTTTGGCTTCCCATTTCCCCCCTAGAATTTCCTTTGTATGGCCGTATAATTCCCACGTAGTCATATTTCCGTCGGCTTAAACACATGTTTCAGCGTTTCAGTTACATCTGAGTCTGGGACGTAAATAGTTTCATTTTCTACTACCTAAGTTATGTGAAATCAGGTTTTATACAATCTCCTGGTTCAATGGACTTCAGGATGCAGGAGCAGTAATCTAGTGGTTAGGCTATTTTACCTTCACTCATTAAGTTCCTGGTTCAGACCCCACTCCACCGACTTTATTTTAGCTAATCGAGTAGTATCATTCGCCCTCACACAGTAGCTCGTATTCAAGTACCTGGTGATTTAGCTAATTTAAATTAAATTTTCAGGGTGAATACATTTACCGTCATATGTTCATAATCCATGGGTGTAAATAGACTTAATGTGGGGAAAATGTCAGAGTAATCAGTCTCACAAGCGTTAGCAAACAATTAGTCGCTGTTGATCAAAGTTATTCGAATTGAATACACTGTACTTTAGTAATGATCGAAGTTCCTCTATAACTGAAACCGTCGTTGGTTTTCATGGTTTTAATCGAGAATCTTAACGCAACCACTAATCTATGGGTTAGTTGCTAAGGTAATTAGGTTAATTACGTCGGCAAATTAGTTTGATGCCTTTTCTAAAGTGCACTGACATTTTTAAAATGTGTTTTCCCTTTTTTCCTCAGTTATACTCTTAAAAGCTAAGTATTAAATGGCCTATGAAACGATATATTCGAATCGAGATAGTGGACGGGACTATCGTAACGGTTCTCGCCATGCTGAACATGCGTAAGTGCAGCCATTCATAGTTCGCATTTATTATGAGTCATACTGTATGTTATCACGTCCAAATAATTCAAACTACATTGTTTGATAACGTATGTTGATTTGCAGCTTTCATTGGTTCGAATACAGTCTTTAACCAGCATCCTGAATTTGTATACCACTAGTAAAAGTTTGTATATCCAGTGTATTTCAATCGTAATCGATGTAGCTCGTAGTATTACATAGAAACTTAAATATAATTGTTGAATTATTGCTACTAAAATTATTAATAATGTCAGGAGCTGGATAAGAAATTAACGAAATTTGTAGTCTATAGACAGTGCATTTGTTTGGCTATCATTGTGGCTCTTTACCTAAGTCTATTAAGCTTTGATCAAAGATTTCGTTTTTTCTCTCTGGTGTATCGGTTATAGATCCAACTAAAATTTCGCCAAGACAACTTAAATTTTTATGTTAGATCGAACTCGGTCTTACTTTTGTCTCACTTGACACTTTAACACTTAATTATTTTGAATGAAACTCAGATTGAGCAAACGAAAAAACCTAGTTTTGCAGTCTAGTTTACGTTGTGTTATAGATCTCGTTTTTAACAACTAATATTTTAACAGATGTCTGGATGACTGCGAAGTACCATCGGAACTCAGATAATGGATATGATTCATAGTCTGGTACATGTTCTTGTTTGCAGTTGATGAGTTAAATATTTTTGTACTTATTGTTTTGTTGATCTCATATGGATATATATTTAGGTGATAATTATAAAACGTAATTTTCATATGTAAATTCGTAAGCTATAATCTACATACTTAACTGAGATCTTTAATAACTCGAATAAATATCGCCCATAAGTTATGTTCACTATATGGATTATCGTTATCCGTCCGTACATTTCACCAAATATGCCTTTTCGAACATAGATTGTTTGGGAAATGTAGATAATTGTAAATGAATTATTTAATCTTATCGTTGGTTAGACTGCTTTAGCTACTTAACGTGGAATAGGGTTTATGATGTATTATTTTTTCTTCGTTTTAGATATGAAAATTCCGTCTCAAGAAAACGTTATCGGGATGTTCCATTCCAGTCACGAATGCCTTTCGAAAATGATTTAAAAGATAGGGAATATGACTACTACAATCCAAACAAGGAATATGTTTCCCCCAGTAAAGAACTTCGACGTAGTAAACATGATGTAGAGAAGTTTCGCCAAGACCCGCGGTACAGTCGTGATTCAAACACTAGTCCTGTTCCGAAAAAACGTAGTAAAATGGACAATCGAGTCGCATCATCTCCTCCCAAACCATCTCGTGTACTTGGTGCTTTTGGATTGTCTATGCGTACCGAAGAACGGCACTTGTATGACATAATGAAAAAGTACGGCGAAATAGAGGAGATAAAACTTGTTCAAGATAATTTATCTGGTAAGTCAAAGGAGATTATTCTGTAGTTAGCTTATACAATGTTTACAAGATGTTCCAACCATATAGTCAGATTAAAGTATGGTGCATACTATTTTATGCCCAGTTGTATCACAATATATGTGTTGAATGAATAAAAACAAAATAGGTGTGATAAGTGACATTTCATATCCAAATTTCGGTGTTTGTTAACTAGTTTTTGGATAGTTGGTCTTGTTTGCCCTTTTTTAAAGTATTTGAGTAAAATTAGCTGCCAAACACTAATAACCCATCCTGCGTAAACAGTTGTGAAAATGTTTCTCAGTTGTTTTTTGGACAAAAGTATTTATGTACATATTGTTTATCATCTCCACAATAGTTTCCACTATTTTCAAGGATAAGAATCTCGTTCTTATGCCATTTCATGTTTCTTCATACTCTCAATTGTCTATCAACAGGGCGTTCACGTGGTTTCGCGTTTATATATTTTCGGTCTATTGAATGTGCTCGTTCAGCGCGCGCTGCATGCGCTCGAGGTTTGGAACTACATGATCGTATTGTTCGCATTGATTACAGCTACACTGAGCGACCACACAATCCTACACCTGGAATATATATGGGCAAAGAAAAACGGTAAATTTTCATAGTACAATAAGGATAGCTTAAATATTATTCATGCATATATTGTAATCTGTGGTTTGCGTATTCTTTGTGTTGTCGTACATTTGCACCCCGTTTCAATTATGTGCTTCTCTAGCTTTCTTGTTCACTGATATTGATAATGACAACTAAAAATCGGGATTTGGTTTCAGCTTTGGATATGAAAATAACTTCAGCTAATCTACAGTTGTCCATCTGTTCGTAAATGAAATACCTATCTTTTTATATATAAAGAGTGTTTATGTTTGTTTCTTCATATATTTTGAAGATACATAAAGAGTACTGTACTCATACTGATGGTTTATTAAAAAATACTCAACATCAGACAGAGAACCTGAAAATATCTAGATGAAGATTACTGAATAAAAGATGCAAAAACTATTTCTAACGGATTCATCTTGTTCTTGAACATCGTCTCATCATATCCAGTCTGTTGTTACTGTGTGTCTAATGTCCTTTACAAATTTCAGAACAGTGTTATCAAGAAACTACATGTAGAGAAAAAAGTTAAAATTCCAGAACAGTTCATCGACTCAACACTCCACAATAACCTTACAAAAAGGGAAAATAAATTCAAAAACATAAGAATCATTCGAATAGGACACAAGAAATGTCATCTCTCTGTGTGTTAAAAAGATTTACTCATAAGAAAACAATGTAATGACACCCCATTGATCTTAAGACCGGGAAATACTGAATGCAATTCTTGTCAATAATTTTTGTTGACGAAATATTTTTTCATTGATTGATTTCCAATATCTCAACAAGTTCCCACGGAAGACTCAAATTTCCATATATAAATTGATGATCAACAACCATTGACTTCATGTCTTGGAGGTTATAATGAATACATTTTTCCTAATGACCTAATCACACTAGTCAAAATCTTATGTACAGATTACTTAACCAACATTCATGTTGACTAGTTTAAATTTATTTCAAAACATTTAAATTAAAATAGCAAGATTTATGAAACTTTTCGTGTATTTATGTATGTATACAAGACAATAGTGCGACAATCTAAGTCAGCCAGCCATAATCACCATTAAACTTGTCAGACTTTTGAATCTATGTAGGTTGCCATAACATGGCTTTTAAATGAGTGGAATAGATAAGGCATGGTGTCATATCAAACTCAATAATACGTATGCTAATCTACTCTATTTTATTGTAAATTTCCATTTTGTTAACCTCCATCTGCGTAAAACGTTTCAGATGAGAGAGAAAACTTACTCATTGTATCTAAGACATCTTACTTTTTATTTATGAATTAATTTCATAATGAATCTAAATGAATTCCAACCAGATATGAATGCTAAATGGGAATGCAAGAATTTATGAACTCTTAAAACACCACAATTGATTTTTACATAATTTTTATGAAATACTGATGAGTCCAAACCAATAAAATATTTATAAGTTTACTCACTATATTTTAACAATTTTTGCAAGATTGTTTACAAATCAAAGAATACAAAATAATTTTTCGCTTTTAGAATGATTACTGTGAGAATGGTTAACAAGCTGAATACATAAAATATAAAACGTCTAAATCATCTCATTTGGTAAACATCAACTCTATGTAGAAGTTGATATTCTTGTATACTATGGAATAGCTGTGTCTGTCAGTCATAATTAATGTAGAGTCGGGCAAAAATGTAGATTGAAGCAGAAATTAACAAGCTAAATGGCAAAAGAACCATAATCAATTAGTTGCAATGGTAATGCGAAAAACTAAATGTTGAGAATACGATATAAAATGACAAAATGGAAAGGTATATATGAAGCAACACTGGGACTCAATAGTGACAAAAAACAAAATGAACGCATCTGAGTCACGTCGCACGAAGTCCTCTATAATCAGTAGTCAAAGTAAAGAGATACTAAACTTCTGCATACAACTCAATGCTACGTAAAACTATCTATCTTACAACTAGTCTTTAAATTTTCGGTCGGTGTCGTGGCACGAAGTCAAGCATGTGACTAGCAATATCACATCAAGCATCCCTTCTGATATTTTCAATACTTAGTTAACATCTCGTTCTTGCATGTTCCATGTACTTAGTATACAACCTATGATACAGTTACCGAATAATGGATTATGTTTCGTTCTCAATAAGTGTACATATGGCAGTTTCCTACTTCAACATTCGCCAAAAGGAAAGGCGCTATACCTCATGTGGAGTTTTGACATGTTCTGATTGGACGTAAAAAGCCAGTTCTTCAAACAAATTTAAATATCCAGAGGATAGCAAATCTTACCTCAACAATTATTTTAAGTGTAAAGGCCAACTTTCTAATTCACAACATACGACTGAGGAAAATGCAAGATTAAATCAAGAGGATCTTACAGATGGCAGTTTGATGACAACATATACAACTCAAAATTTCAGAATCCAATAGTTACTCAACATAAACAAAATGAAACTGGATCCTATATGCAACATTTTCAACATGTTTTCAGTTCTATCGTCCAAAACTTAAACAAGACAAGACACTGAATTTCTGCTGTACATTAGCGTTAACATTATGTTTCATGGTTTTTCGCGCTGATAATGTTTTCATATATCAGCGAACGTGAATTTTCATTCATAACCAAGACCATTTCATCTCATCGTTATTGTAGTTATCAAGCAGTTGAAAAAACTTTCTGCAGTTTTACTAAATATGCTTTGGATTTGGAAAATAATTATTAGAAGCTGTTGTCACTGAATCATCTTTTCATTGCCTACTTATCGTTCGCGAATTCAAGAGTGTGACTTGGAAGTGTTCTATAATTGACAGCAGCGATAAGAAAGCAATTCTTTCATCTTGTGATATTATTACATCAGTTTCGTAACTACAGATCCTAAGCATTGTTCTTGTGCGGAATTTCGAATCATCTAGCATAAAAAGTACTCTTAAAGAAACTTGATTTTTTTCAAAGCTTCCTACCTGATAGGGAATTCAACATGAAAATAACTTTCATCACGCTAAAAAAATTTCAGGTAGATCGGTCCAATGAACACATTGCCATTAGTTGGTTAATATTAGGCTGATATCATTGTTCGTCTAGTATTTGCGTTTATGTTCCTATACTAAGTTTCCAGTGTGCACCACACAACTATTATCAGCTTGAATTTAACGGGAATCAAACTCCTCATCCAGTGGTTAGTAACATACTGTCTAGATTATTGATCCATGGTTTCATTAAGGTAGTTAGAATTTATTGAAAATTTACATCACGCACTTGAACAACCCATAAAACTTATGAGCTATAGATAAACTTTTTAGGTCCAGTTACTGAAATCCAGTAGTGTCAGTTTTCTCAGTATTCTCGTTTTGTATTACATACTTCTTATACAAAAGTGACATCTGTGCATAACACGGTACAGTTTAGTCATATTTACTATCGAGTTTGTATGATTGGTTTTAGAAACTGAATTTTTAAGACCATGTGTATTCGTTTTTCCTAATCTCTGAATTGCCTGTCTCAGCCATTTTAAACATTACAAGTCTAGAATTTTTCTATATTTGGGACATATCGACGCAAGTATTCTGAAATTATTCTTTTAGACTAAATCATGGTGAATCTGGACGCCGGTCGAACTTTGCAGAGCACCAGAGATCCACGTACGGGGATAGAAATTCCAGACCACGTCCTTCTCAAAGAATATCTCGACGTCCAACAGGTGAGCGACCCGATCGTTACCATCAGTCGCCAGAGGAAAACAGCCGACCTCGTAATTCGTTAGCATACAATTCAAATAGCCGTAGTCGCATAGTGAGAACAAACAATGGTGTCCAACAAAGTCGTTCTCGTCAACCACGTTCTGATGTGATGCGTAATGCATATAACATGCGACGCCAACCTAAAAATGAGTATGCGTCAATGAACTACAGCTCTACAACTCACTGATAACAAAATGCATTTCCGTTTATACCACTGTATCTTTAAAAAAATAGACTTATTGTATTTACCTGAAAACTGGCTGAATATCACTACTGCTTTCCATTATGTTGTTGGTTTTCAGTTAATTTAATCGTGTAATTCAATTTCATTGGGACAGTAAACGTGTACATCGTCTTTCATTCTCTAAGAACTTTTACGCGTTAGCTACAGAGCTTACTACGTTTATGAAGAACAACAGTAGTTCAATACCAAGTATCTAATCAAATGAAGTTGAGCTTTGTCCTCTTTTCTCACTACTTTTAATGAGTAGTATATTGGAAACACGAGTAAAATGGTATTGTTAGAATAAATTGATTTATCTCATGAAATTCCCTAGATGTACATTGAACAGTGAGATTTGGATTTTTACGTGTTACTGAGAAAGCAAATAACACTGGATTCATGGATATATCGATATAATAAAATTGCATGAACGATGAATAAAGATGGTGTGGAATATTCGGAAAGTTTCCAGTTTTTCCGCCTACAGGTTCTTCACTAACATAGTGTGCTCTTAGAATTTGTCCTCTGTTTAAGATAATCATCGATCCCACTCCAAATATTACCGTGTAACTATTCTTACGGCTGCTTTTCATATGCAGTACTGTATACCGGTTTTTTTTGCATAACTGCGTCTTCACGTTTATTTGTTTCCCAGTGTTTTCTGGATTGTATTGTGCTTCTCAAGTATAGTTATCCATGAATATTGCCTAACATCTATCTAAGCTGAACTTAAATAAAATTAATTTTTTAGAAATCTTAATCCCTTATGTGCTTTCAACGGCACTTTTCCATCAGATGTGTTACCTTACACATGCTACAGTCGTTCTTGAATTACTCACATCAATAAAATATTAGGACTGTTAATTTAGTACTCTTCTTCAAGACAAACGGACATTCAACAATAATAATCTATCACAAAAAACATAATAATCAAAATTGTTACTAAACTCCAAGAAATTGAAATTGAATAAATCATAAATTTGGAATACTATCTGCATGTTTTTTGGGATTTATATTGATGAATTTATGTTTGCGTGTGTCAGCTTTCATGGATTATTATCACTATACCAAATTGTTTTCATCCTTAAGAATCGAGTTTTTCATCGAAAGATTATCAAAGTTCTACCAGTAGTATAAGCCTCATAGCGTGGAAACTAGTATATTTCAACCTTCGATTATTGGAGTTTGTTGGTACACATTCCTGTCAATTGACTTTAAAAGCATTCATAACTGGTTTTCGTTGTTAAATATTCTCTAAAAATGATTCAGCTAAAGTTGGTAACGGATTCTGCATTAAAATAAAGGTTTTTTAAAGAATGGGGCTTGTTTTAATCGCAGCAATATTGTACCTCAGATCAATCCATCGAACTGCAATCACAACGACAATTACCCAAATTATTGCTTTCCACAACAATAATACTACTATTATTAAAATTAAAGGATTATGCACATAGTAAAATGGTGAATTGCAGTAGCACATTTTTGAATTCTCGGGACTTTTGCTAGAGTAAAAGAATGTAATCCTTGAAAATCCTAAAACAAAATAATTAATAAACTGGGTTAACTTTCATAACTGCTGGCGAAAGTCATATTTATTGCTTGTGTTGGATATTGAAATTAGTTTGGAATTTGTGCAAACCTTTAAGTTGGTTAGCATTCTCTTTGTAAATATCCTCTGAATATTTGTTGACGATTCTCCGTCATTATTTTATTGTAAATATCAGTTTAAAAATTTCATAGACATCAACCGTGATAAAAAGCATTTAATTAGTTCAGATGCGTATATTTTCAAACGGGCAACTCCAACTGAGTCCTTTATTATTTTGGTGTTACTTTTGTTTATGTCTGATTCTTCGGTATCTTAGCAAACCTTTGGAGTGATGTGAACACTTTCTACTTCTTACCATTTAGCAAAAATTATTTCTGCAACAACTCTTGTATTTATTAATAACGACTTAAAATCACTATAACTTTATTGTCAGCCCCCCTCCAACAGTCACGTTTATTGCATTTGATGTAAAAAAATTACTGGATTCCTACAGTCTATGGATAGTTTTCGAATGTATATCACTTTTTAATGCATCGTGTGCAGCTTTCCGGTGTTAACATTTTCAAGACTTGTCCGAAAATAAATCATATTTAACTACTTTTTTGTAACCACATTTTGTCTAGCCTTCAAGTTGTGAAAACATCTTATTGACTTAGTATCAAAAGTGTGATTATCTTACAAAGTGAGGATTGATAGAACCGAGATTCGGCGCAGCTGATTGCAAATGTGTAAACAAAACCCAGAAATTGGTTTTGTTCAATTTACTTGCTAGCCAACTACCTACATGTTAACTTCATTTTAATAATGCTTGTGGGCGTTTTTAAACTTGATTGTTTTAAGGGTTGGTGCGAAGTTATGTCGGTGTGTTGTCAATTTAATCGATCTGCTTTAATCGAATTTCAAGCTGGAGTACACCAGAGATTGTAGAGAACAATTTTTCCCTTGTCAAAAATTCTCAAAATTCCAATATTTATTTAGAAGAATCAATGGGCAAAAACGTGAAGGATTCAGTCGGTTAATTCTGTGAGAAGCAAAATAAAGCTGATATAAAATAAAGTCTAATATCCTGGAGTTGTATTTTATTTAAATGTAAGTCAGCCAATTTTACTTCAGTCCCGACAGAATGTAAACGAGTTTACAGGAATTTGTCGATGTTTGCTTGCTATAAACACAATGTCATGCGTGTATGCGATCGATGAACCTTGCTTCGTAAATGTAAATGATTTGATCTCAACAGTCATGTAAGAAAAAAATGTTCTATTATGATACATAAACTGAAAAGTAATATGTTTGGTCGACCTAATGTTGATTAATGGTAGCTTACTTCCTGTTAAATGATTAATCTTAAGTGGGAAGCCTTGGAGTCTTCAAAGTCCGTACGGTATTGATAGATTTAATTGTTTGTTTACATGGATTGTTATAGTAATTAAGTGTCACTAGACAAGGATAAATTAAATAGTGCTGAATCGTATTGATAACCCCTTCATGTTATTGGTGTAAATGTTTATTTTGAACAACCGGGTAACATGTATCCAGAAGAATAGGTGATGTAATCAACTTCGGTTTAATGAAAACCAAGAGGAAAAGTTGTTACTCTGACATCTACTAAATAACCGTTGTATATCAATCCATCATGCTAAATAACTTTTAATTAACCAAATATCTTGCAACTGCTTAATCGAATGAATACTACACTTATTTAATTTGAATTGTACTTATTTAGTTACCATCATCAGCCTGCATGACCGGTCACTACTTAGTACTATGAATAATTGGTTTAGTTAACGTCTGCCACTAAATTTGTTACTTATTCGCCATTTAAATGTTGAGTCTAATTCTGTTGATAAAGTTATTGGGGTAATATATAAATGATTCTAAAAGGAATTTTGATAATCATTAACAGTTTACCCTTAACTAACCCCATCAGTTATGTCGATAGTATGTTCTAGTGAAGTTCCTATATTTGAAATTCGTTCTACTATCACTGTCAGCGTTTGGAATATGAAGAAATTGAAATTTTGAACAACTGAGTTGATCACAAACTAAATATGTTAATCATTGTTTATTTATTCTTAGTTTTATGAAAAAATTCCTTGTTAGTAAACGCTTTCAAAAAAAGTTTGTTTCCCATATTTCCACTTATTTTTACAATCCATTTATTGTATCTGTTAAAACCTTGTTTTTATCTTAACAATATTATGAATGATCAACTGCGAAATATTATTTCTCCTTGTTATTTTTTTGAAAATACATAATTTTTTCAGAGGATTCGTTTGTTTTGAAATTCCAGTTGATGTTTCACTTGAAGTCTGGTTATCGCCTAACTCGATTATATAAGTGTAAGATTCGATTTAGATACATCGATTGTGTAAACTAGGAGAAAGAATTATTGCCAGTACTTTGATTAGTACATGTCCTCTGTATGAAACACATTTAAGATCCAATTTAACCTACAATTTTACTTATATTCGCTCACATATGTTTCAATGTCGGACCTCATTTCTTGAAATACTACTTATACCAATTAGGGCTTCAGTCAAATCAAATTGTCCACTAACAAATTTATTGACTAATTGACCTCAAATCTCTACTTTTGCTAGTCAGATTCCGAAATGTAAGTAAACGTTTATTGTATTACAGGTGATTGGTTTAGATTCCATATTAATGGGATTTAAACTGGACGAATAATGCGATTTGGTTGTCTCAGTTTAGTTGCCGTAATTTTATTGTTTCACTATAATCAAATAATAAACAATTCATTGATGAAACCTGCTAAAAAGGAGTGTATGACAAAGCAATTTTGTTATACGTACCCGCCTACGAGATATAGTTCTATTTGAATTTTCCTGTTGATATTTTCGACTGAAATGTGATCAGTCTTGGTTAGTATATGGGCATCCTGTACGGATTGTCTCGACACAGCCATTATGTCACAAGTTGATATTGAACAGGTGAGATTTGGGTGGCAGTGAAATGCAGGACTCGTGGTTTTTCCTACTTGGGACTCGTCATCTGGATATGCTATTAGATGCAGGTACACCCGGCTGACGAGTCCTAAATAAGATGAAATTCGTGTCCTGGGTGCCACTGCTACACACATTTCATTTATTGTATGTTTATTAGGTAGTTTTGTTAGGTTATTCAAAGTCGAGCATCTTAAATAATGTATTAAAGACTTGCACTTACTCAATATTAATGTTATACTGTAGGCTGAACTAACAGTACTTAGAATCTTCATAAAGTTGCAGATATATCATAGATTTACCTCGACAGGCATAAAAATGAGAAGTATGCATTTTACAAATCGAATCATCAAAGATCAAACATATTGGC